ACATACATATAAAAATGCTCAAATTAATGTCAGAGAGCCATAATGAGGACTTTGCTGCCTGTGCTTTTCATCCTGGCGGTACAATTTGAAGGCTGGCCAGTCCATCAATATGGTTTTCAATTTCTACGACGCCCCGAGGACCCTGAGCTCTGCATTTGTTAGAAATGAACCATTACATATGATTGGTTAATATTTCAGTTTATTGAAGATACATTATTTTGTATGGAGTGTTTAAGTTGTTGAGGCTTAACCATTATAAACAGTTATGACAAAAATAGATCTTGGGGTAAACAGCCTCCACAGTCATGCTTTTAATAAGCACAGCTATAACTAGGAAATTGGATTTCCAGGAGCTGGGAGATGTGGATGAGGCAGGAAGGGACTCCTCACACTCTTCTCTGCATCCATGATATACAGTGGAAAACTGATGAGGCTGTTGCCCCTCCCCTCCCTTCTCTCCTCCCCTGCCCTCTCCTTACTGTCTTCCTCCCCCCTTTCTTCTCCCTATTTATCTTTGTCTTTTATTTTTGAGATCTATGGATCCCATATTGCCCAGGCTAGTCTTGAACTACTGGACTCAAACGATCCTCCTACCTCAGCCTCCTACGCAGCTGAGACTACAGGTGGGCCACCATCCCTTTTTATTCTTTTCTAAGCCAAATATTCACTGGCTATTCTATTGTTTTCCTCTCAGATGAGAAGAATCTTTATCTCCCCCTAGTGATCTTAAACGATCTGTCCTGTTTTAGACAGGAATTGCTTGTTTGGAGCTGCTCTAGGCTGGGAATCATAAAGCATTTTTCTTTTTTGTAAAAAGCCAGATAGTAAATATTATAGGAGCTGCAGGTCAAGAGGCAAAAATCAAGGGAATTATGAACGCACATGTAGACGAACTGTTGAAAAATGGAAGAGCTCTTCTTAGCTCTCAGGTTGTAGGAAAATATTGCAGCAGGCCCATTTGTTTGTGGATCCTCTGCTAGGTGGAAGCGTGTGCTTACATAACTTTCATAATAGTTTGTTTCATGATCTGTGCAGTCATAGGATGAAATCTATGACCCCTTGACCTATGACCTGCTCTGCTTGCTACCCGCCCGCTACCCTCCATCCCCCCAGTCCTCTCATTCCATCTGCCTCCCCTCTGCAACTTCTGCCTTCTGCTGGAGTGACTGGCCCCTCACGGGCTTTCCAGCCTTGGGAAGGGCCCCCTCGGAGGAGAATCCTTCCCAGCCTGCACTTTTGGCCAGAACACATCACTTGGATCTCCGTTTCTTTGACTTGCTGTTGGTTGTCCATCTCCCCTACCTGTCCAGGGGTACTGCCTCTGCTTTGCTTACCGTTGGTTTCTTTTTTGTTGTTGTTATTGTTTGAAACAAGGCCTGGGCTAGTCTTGAATTTGAGATCCTCTGTCTTCCTAGTTGTGAGATTAGGGTGAGTGCCAGCACAAAACGGTAGGTTTTAGTTTTAGCTTAGTTGTCTCAGGGTTGCTTTCAGCAGTGTCAGTGTGCATGTGCTGGATGACTGAGTGAATGAAGCCAGCAATAAGTCAGCAGCTACCCCAGGTATCTGAGAACCCAAACCACAGCCAACAGACCTTCCCTTCTTCCTGGGCTCCGTCTTTTAATGAAAAAACAAAAACAAAAACCCGAACCAAAGATTTCCTTTATTTCTTTACGCTGTTCCTTTCACCTGTGGGGTGCACTGTTCCCCACTTTCCCCCAACTCTACTTATCCAGGAAGGTCCAGACTCCAGACATGCCTTGTCTGGCTTTAGTCCACTGCCTAGGAGGCCCTCTTCCACCCAAGGCTTTCCTGGTACTGGACCTACCTGCATGGGGTTCTTTGAAGACCTGTCATACCCAGGTGCACCCATCAGATGACTAGGCTAGGCTTGGCTGGGGTCCTTGCCCACATGCCTCTTTCACAGAATATTGGATATTGTGGGCATCGCCCATGAGCAGGGTGATGGTACTGACCTCCAAAATCAGTCCTCAGATCACACTGCCTTGGATTCTGGTTCCTCTCAGGACTCAAAGCTAAGCCAGCAGCATGGATGTCAGCCCATGTTCTTCACCCCTGGGCTTCTAGGCATGAGGAAGCTCTGTAGGCAGGGGTGAAGGTAAAGGGTACAATGGATCTCCTTGACTCCTTGACTTTCTGCTCACAGCTCAGTTCGCATGCCTCACTTCCATTCCATGTCCTCGGATTCCAAGAAAATCCTGGACTATATCCAGATGCGTGTATTCTTGGCGTCAGGATAGTGAGTCCCCGCTCCTACGGTCTGAGTCAGGACTCCTACTCTATCGACCATCCATTTCACCTTTTTATCCTACACTTGCTGGGCAGCTCTGCCTGCGGGGCCTCCCACAAAGATCTGAACAAACCATCATGGCACCCACTGTGTGCGTGTTCACTTCCTTCTTGTTTGCTCCTTCTAGTGGTAACACGGCCCAAGTAAACTGAACCACCTCACAGCTACACAGCACTCTCGCATTCCAAGTCTAAATATTCAGAGAGAGCAAAGAGGCATCACGTGACAGCTATGGATCAATCAATCACTGAGGGCAGGGGGTGGAGTCTCATGCCAACGTGGACGCTTCCCAGTGCAGGATGGTTGAAACCTCTTTTGAAAGATGGAGAAATTAAAATTCAGAGAAGGTGGTTAACATGTCCAAGACTGCACGGTGAGGACGTCAGAATTTGAACTCAAGTCTGTCTGTCTCCTTAGCCTGTGCTCCCTCACTGTTCTGTAACGGAAGATGTTTGATACTTTAGGTCCTCGTGGGCTTGGGCTTTGTGGTTGGATGGGAGGGCTGGCGTTCAGAGTTGCTGGTGAGGTACAGGGAAGGAGAGGAGGATATTAGGAGGGGCGGCAGAGGAGGAAGATTGTTGCATTTGGGACCAGGAGGAAAGGGGGCCTTGGCAAGCTTAGGGTTGGTTAGGACCAGGCTGAGCACAGGAAGGCCAGGGGCCCAGGGATTCACCCTTGGCCACTGCCCACTGGGAGAAAGGGCCCATGCTGCCCATCTGGGCCGAGAGAGCTTGTGCTGAAGTTGCTGTGCCCCATAGCAGAGTGAGGAGAGTCTCGTTTTCAGAGCGAACTGAATTGCACTTTTCAAAGCAGCAAAGTGCCTCTCGAAGAAGAGATAACGAGAGAAAGGAGATGTCTGCTTCCCACAAAGAAGGAACATTACTCTAAGTAGCGGATTTTGTAATTATATTCATTTGAAATAATCAAGCATTTCCACTTATTAAGGGAGTCGGAAAGGAGGTGTTGGAGAAAGTGATCTAGCCATTTCCCAGGGCTGCTTCTCATTGTTCGAGCAAAGAAAAGGAGCTGCAAATATAGATTAGTGTTGTCTGTGAAAGCAGGCAGAAGGCTATGGAGCAGAGGAGGAGGGCCAGCCCTGGGTCACTGTGCCCTGGCTGCTCAGAGCCTACAACAGGCTTGTAACTTGGAGGAAAGGGACACTTGGGTCCTGCAGTAGGGCTGGAGGGGGGGAACCGGAGTGGGAGGAGGGGAGAAGGTGTCTTCCCTTGGATCAGTGTTACACAGCGAACTCTGTGCAATGCTGCACATATTCTGTAGGCCCGAAGACACAGTGGCTATTGCACACGTGAAATTTGGGCACTGTGACTACCCACATTTAAATTGAAATTCAAATGCTCACTTGGGTCTGGAGTGGCTCCCATCCTGGGTGGGGAAGAGGCAGGCTCTGGTAGATCATTTCCTAAAATCAGCTCCTGCAAGGGGGCATGACGGATCACGTGTCAGCCAAGGTCTGAACAGGTGATGTCAAATGAGCAAAGTTATTAGGTAACTGAACAAAAATTCCATTTTTTCTTGCAACATTTGCTGCCCTCTTGGCCTATCTTTGATTTTCCCATTTTCAAAAGAAATAGGAGCCCTGGTTGTCAGGTAAGTGGTGACTTCAGGACCCAGGTCTCCAGTGGAGAACACAGGATGCAGACATACATTACTTCTCTGTGGCCTAACTTGGAGCAGAAAGCCAACAGTGGAACTTCCACCATTGTCCATTTCTCCATGGGACATGGATCATAAGGAAGGACAAAGAGAGATGATTTCTTATGTGGTCATGGCCTGGATGACCAGGCAGGTGGCTGTAAAGTCACTCATGGTAAGAAACTCAAATAGAGGCCACTCTGCATCCTGGTTACTCCTCTGGTGAAAACAAGATTGGTGCATGAAGTGAGCGAGAACTCCTCTACCCTCCCAGAGTCCCTCCTTCAAATCCATCTTTAGGAGCAATAGCCCTAGGATGAGTCAGGAAAGCCTTGACTCAAGTCCTCTTATCTGTGTGGTCTGGGGGCAATTCTTCACCTCTCTGAAGCTCACTTCTTCCCATAGAAGTTGGTATTGTTGTCTTATTTTACAAGCAAAGAGTGCTATAAAGACACTTTTTCTTTTCTATGGGAGGGGGGTCTCTAGTCTGTGGACCCTCTTCCTATGCTGGAAGATTCCACTCCAAGTGAGGCTTTGGGATAGAGACTGACACTTTCCTGGCCATCCCCTTCAGGGGCAGAAGTGTATGACCTCCCCCTGACCAATGCCACTGAATTTAAACAGGAACCAAGATAAAAGAAAGCTGGGATAGGTTTCCCCAGCAGTGCTAGTAGTCCTGAGTGGGAGAGTGTTGACTGAGCTGTAGTCTTTGGTACTGCATGGCAGGGCCAGGGATATGCTGTAGGTTAGCATCCTTGGCCTTGATCTTTCCCCACTGTCCATTCCCCAGCTCCCCTGGTGGGGGTGGGGGGGTCTGGGACTTTACTATATTCTTAAAAATCCTCTTTCTGCTTCCACTGGCCAGTCTATTTCTGTTAGTTGGATCTAGGATCCTGATGGCCACAATTTCCTGCAAGGTCTAGCCCAAGCAACCTTGTCCAGCTTAAAAGCATTTAGGAATTAGGTCCATGGAAGTACTTTTTATTTGACTGTTTACCATCCAGGCCCTTATTAAAAGGCTACGTAGATGAATCAGAGACTTTTGCCAAGGTGCTAACCTTTTGTGAAATCAGTCCCAGTGAACACTGTCTCTTCTCATCACAATTGTTGTTGAACTTTCAACAGCCTAAGTTACATTTTTAAGAGAAGAATCTGGTTTTCCTAAATGCAGGGTTTCATAGAGTCTACAGAGGTGGCATCAAAAACTCCCTGGATGTCACACCAAACATTGGCAAATGATTTCCTGTTGAAAGAAGAAAACAGTTGTCAGGGTGCAACCAGCTAAGCCACCCACTATTTGATGTTCAATAATAATTGATTGTCAAATCCTTTAAATGTCAAAGAGGAAGACACAGCTTTGAAAAACTCAGGTAATCTTTGAATCGTTTTGTCCAGATTGCTCTCTTCATGTCATAGGTGAAAATCTGGCGTGAGGGAAAAATAGTATATATTGCTATCAAAAGAATTTTGACTAAAGCTAATGCCCCCAAAGTCAATATTTGAGTCTTTCTTCCAAGAATTAACCCTACTATATTGATTGCTGGTATATTTTATTCCATAGAACACAAAATGAAGTTATCATCAAAACTTTTGGTTCAATTTTGAACATAAGGCCTCTACTTGAGTATCGTGTGTGTGTGTGTGTGTGTGTGTGTGTGTGTGTGTGTGCATGCACGTGTGCATATGCACACTCCCGTGCACATGTTCATGTGCCAGTACTGAGGATTGAACTCAGGATCTGTGCACTGCCTCTTAGCTTTTTTGCTCACTGTTGGTGCTCTACCACTTGAACTATACCTTCACTTTTTTTGTCAGTTGTTGGGCTTGAACTCTGGGCCTGGGCACTGTCCCTGAGCTCTTCAGCTCAAGGCAAGTGCTCTACCACTTGAGCCACAGTGCCACTTCTGGTTTTCTGGTGGTTAATTGGAGATAAGAGTCTCATGGCCTTTCCTGTTGGGCGGGCTTTGAACCGTGATCCTCAGATCTCAGCCTCCTGAGTAGCTATGATTACAGGCGTGAGCCATTGGCCCCCAGCTGTACCTTCATCTTTGTTTATTTGGTGGCTAATTGGAGATAAAAGTCGCAGAGGCTTTTCTTCCTGGGCTGGCTTTGAACTGTGATCCTCAGCCTTCAGCCTTCTGAGTAGCTAAGATTCCATGTGTGAACTACCAGTGCTTGGCCTCCACTTAAACATCATATTTACCGATAACTAAGAAATGCTGGTTCTCATAGTGTATAGCCTTGAACAAGAACCAATTACCCCTGAGAGTGAAGATACAGTGGGGGACAATGCCTCTATGCCCAGTCTTCTGTCCAATGCTGTCTCTGGCCTGTATCCCCACTGGCCACACACAGTGCACCCTCGGCTTCATCCCTCTCCCTACCCAGGTCTATCACAGTCTGCTGGTGCCCTGTGCAGCTCTAGGCTGTAAAGCTCCTCAATTCCTGAATCTTTGGCCAAGGCTGTGCCCAGCCCTTCACATGCTGTCTGACCCTTCTGTCACAACCAGAAGCTGGGCAGTATGACCACAGCTGCTTAGCAGCCTTGGGCCACCCAGGAATTCTGGTCACCGTGGCTGCTCTAATTGCTTTTTCCTCTTGCCTCCTCCTCAGGCTTTCTGCATGCTGATGGTGTGGAGTTGGGTCTCCACTGGATTGCAGTGCTATTTTTTTAGCATCCCAACTAGTGTGTCCGGTTGACTGAGACATTTCGGAGAAGAAGCAGGTGCATTTACTTTTCAAGTATTATTTTACTAATCAATTGAAAAATTACCTTCATGAATGACAGAAGTGCAGACCTTTGGAGTATTTCATTAAAAGGAGCAAACATTAATTACGAATCCAGCCTAACCTTGCTCAGACATAAATTATGGGCCTGATCTATTTTCTCTGTGCTTAATTGCAAGCAGCGACTAGTTCTTTAAATTATTATCTGCTAGGCCTCCAATGGAAAGAGAATTTATGGAGTGGTACCCGGAGGCCTTGTTGGTGGCTTTGCTACTCTGTGGGGCTGGATGGAGCAGGAGAAGGCCACATCAGAGGACTCAGGGTGGCATAGGTGCCCCGGGGAATGTGTCACAGCTTTGCAAATAATGAAGAAAAGAACATTTTCCGAAACCATGTTTCCAGCAGTCTTTCTGATCTGGTCTCTCAGAAGTGGGCCTCATGTCCTGATGAAGTGGGTAAGGGCACAGACAGGTGTCTCTTCCTCCATTTATTTGTGGCCACCTCCTAGAATTCTACCATGATCGCTATGTCAGCCAGGGAGACTATGCAGCCAGTGGTGCTCCCTGCAATGGTGTCAGGCAAAATGTACAGCTGTATATAAAGGCTCTAAGGGGATGTTTTGGGTCAAACTGACCTTTCATTATTTCAGATAGTTTATGTCTTTGCTTAGTTGGCACATTGGTGGTCTAAGGACCTGGCTCCTGGTAGAAATTCAGGATTTAGCCTGTGGCAAATGCCCATGACTTCAGTTGTGAGTTGCAAGTTTTGTGTGGACATTGTTGTGGGACTATTGTGACAGGATTACCTGGGGCCAGAGTGTCTCCAAAAACCCATCAGCCTTCTGGTGCAGGCATGTCTGTCTGAAAAGAAAAAGAGACATGGTGCAAAATGGAACATGATGCTGAAATTAGAATTAGGAAGTCGCTGTGTCTTAGTTTCTTTACTATCAGTAAGTCTTGGTGGCTGGAAACAGATAAGATGTTGGAACTAGGGACCTTGGACTCTTGGCAAAGGTGAAGACCAGGTATAGGAAATGAGCTTGGATCTGGACAACAGTGCCATAACCTCCTCTAGCTTGTAGGAAGTGTGTGTGTGTGTGTGTGTGTGTGTGTGTGTGTGTGTGTGTGTGTGTGTGAGTGTGTGTGTGTGTGTGCATGTGTGGGGGGGGAGAGAAAAAGACTTCAGAAGAGGGAGAGGTCCTGTGGGGTCAGTAGGGAGAAGGACCTCTGGAACTTGACATCTCAATGCAATGTGTTTTCAGGGTTACTTGAGAAAGACTGAGCCAGAAATGAATGTTCTAGATGTCTTCTGTTGGCTGCTCTGTCTCCATGCACTGCTCTGGCCTCCATGCACTGAGTTGTCCTCTCTGCAGAACTGACAGGAATGACTGGGGACAGAGGCTGAGAGGGGAGGACCTGCTGGCAGGAATCCTGACCATTTTTGGTGTGATGGCACAGGCAGTCCATGACAACTCTGGGGGAAAGACTAGCTAGTATCTCCCATGGTTGAGCAAAGTCCATTTCTACTGCCAAGCTGAGAAAATGCCACCCATCTATGTTCCCAGCCTCCTTTGCACTTGGACAGTGCTCCACCAGTAGACATACCGACCCTGGGCTTTCCATCAGATGTAGAAAAGCAGGGACTTTGCAAAAATTAATTCCAGAAGAGACTGTAGACAGTGTGGCAGCTGGACTCAACTTGCAGGTATTAACAGACAAGGGAAGTTATGGATGCTTGGTAGCATTTTCTCTTTTTGTAGCAGTACCTGAATTTGAACTCAGGGCCATGGATTTCGTAGCCTGGTGAGATACTGCTGAACCACTCCTCCAGCCCTATTTCTTCATGACTAGTTTTAGGATATGGCTTCACTTCATACCCAGGAGTGTGACTGAGTCAGAATTTGCGTACTTTTCAGCTTTGCCCTGTTGTTGGGTACACAAGGGTGTGCCACCAGATCCAGCTTCCCTCTGTGGCTTTTATGCCTGGGCTGGCCTGGTACTGAGATCCTCCCAAACCCAGCCCCCACCCACCCCATATAAGCTGTACACATCTTTCTGGCTTTCTCTGCCATATGAGTTAGCCAATTACAGGGAACTGAAAATTTCACAGCACATAGCCTCAGGAACAGCTGCAGCCAAGGTATCTATCTATCTATCTATCTATCTATCTATCTATCTATCTATCTATCTATCTATTTATCTATATGCACATATCTATTCATATGTATATTAATATGACTCATTTTCAGTTCTTGCCCTTGTATCAACTTCTGTATAGAAATGCTTCCCATCTCAGCAGCAAAATAGCTGTCAGGAGCTCTAGAATAAATACAATCTCACCAGTTAATAAAACTAGTGCTACTTCCCCACCAGTTTTAGCTAAAATCCCCATGCTGACTCTTATTGGACCATCTTGAATCTCATGCTCTTTCTTGAGCCAATCCCTATGGTCAGGGACATGGGATGAACCATATTGGTTGGGACTGAGACAAATACTTACTTTTCCTGGGAGCAGATAGAATCTTTCATTACCTAAACTTTGTGGACTGAAAGTAGAAAGGGTAAGAGTGGTTCCCCAGAGAGAAATGTTTTTGTTGTGATAAACGCACCCAATATCTAATGAACAATTGTAGTCATTTACTTTTGCAGAACTAGTCCTACGCATTTAGAGAGGTGCTACAGTAGAACATCCCTAGGGGTTTCCACGCCACAGTTAGTACCCTCTAATATCTGAGTACCCAGCATGAATCCAATTCTCTCTTAATCTATCACCTATTCGATCATTCTAGGACTAAGGAAGCTTGGGTCTTAGCTCTGCCACTCTTCCCACCTGTCACTTTGAATTATCTTTTCCTCTTCTGGGCCTCAGTTTCATGGTGTGTGAGGTTGACCAGATGATATCCAGGAATCTTCAGCTCTGGCATTGCATGGATCTACGGGAGGTCGTCTTTGTTGGGGAAACTTTAGCCTGTGTCTTATCAGCACAAACAGGAAAATCCAATGAACATTGGGTTGGGGCCGAGGATTCTTGCTAATCTATCCTTGCTTTATTTTTGTAGAATAATTCAATTCAACAATTCAATTCAACAAACATTTATTGAGTGGCTATCAGAGTCAGGATAAGCCCAGCATTTGCAGAATTGCTTTTATGTTTGCAAAAGTCCATTCCCTGCTAATATCCTGTGAATGCTGTGCAGGTGGGGAGGAGCAGGACAAATAAGGAGACTTCGTTTTACAGATGAGGATACTGAGGACTCTCTTGGCCAATGCCAGCTCTTCCTCATCCAGACTCCCATGTGCCTTTCCTGTTCCCAGTTGTGATGGTACATTTCGATGATTAATACTGATCTTTCCCACTCTGATGTTTACCCCACCTGGAGAAAGATCAGGGCTGTTTTGGTACTAACACGGTATTTGGCATATAGCAGTTTCTCAATGACTGTGTGTTGAATGAATGCATGAATAAAAGAAGGAGGAAAGAAGGCTGATGTGAGGGAGGGAAAGAGAGAGGGAGGAAGGGAGTCAAGAGACAGTTTAAAGATATTTTTCAACATACCATACAACCTTGGTCAAACCTTTCCCTGGGCTCAATTTGCTTCTCTGTGAAATGAATAGTGATTTCCCAGCAGGCTTTGCAACAGGGTCATGGCTTGTCCCAGACAACAAGGTGGCTTCCTGGCACTACATTGGATTTTCTGATTCGGAATTTCTGAAGGTAAGACCCCATTATCTGCATTTCTAGAAAGGCCCTAGTTGATTCTGTCAGGATCTGCTAGTCCTGTAGGTTTTTGGAATGTCTTCGCATGAAAACCTCAGGATCAGTCCTATACTGACATTCTGGGTTTCCAAATGATGCCCAGACCAGGCCCATTTGAGTATCTCTCCTCATTCCAGCTGCCACCTGCCAGGGTGGCCTCTGCAGAGGTGGTACCAATACGACCTGGCAGTTCCCACTGCCTCATTCTGCTCCACTGAGCACCAGGTAATTTGTGTCAAATTTTATTCTCCTTTCTCCAGCCTTTCCCTCCACCCCTGGGCTGTGAGAGGGCAAGCTCCTGAATCTTGCCTTTGGATCATAGTACTCCCATGCTGGGCTAATGACACAGGGGGTGTGCCCACGCCAGTCGGGCCCTGCCACTTTCACAGAGAGCTATACACTTATCAGGGCGTGTGGCGGACCCCAGCCATTTCCTCAGCTGGAGAGAGATGACAGGTTCAGTGGCTGGCAGAGAAGGAACTAGGTGCTCAAATAGCACAGCAAGTGCAGAAGGCAATGTTTGGCAAAGCCAAAGAATTCTACTTGGGACAGACAAACCACCCTGGGAGGGACAGATGCTCAATCTTGAAACAATAGCACAGAGACCCCTGCCCTGCTGTTTCAAAGGTGGCACAGGCTGTGCAAAGAAGCCCTGGGTTTGGCGCTATTCACCCTTTAAGAAATAAATGTATCTGTAACTGAGCAATCTACATGCTATCCATGCTCCAAAAGCAAGGGCATTCCCCATTGGCCGCATCCCAGAGGGTTAGACGAATCCACTTTTCAAATAGCAGACGCTTGTTACTCTTACCCCAGTAAAGTGTTGGTCTCTCTACGACAGATTATCGTGCTACTTGTCTTTCTTCTCTCACACTGTATCAGACAATCAGAGAGGTGACAAGACCCCCACCACGTGGTCTAGGGAGGTGACAAGATTCCCTGCCACCTGGTCCAGCCAGATGAGCATCCTTTCCATGAGTGACTAAGGTTCCAAAGTCCTTTACCCCACCTTCAGTGCCCACAGAACAGGCATACATGTATTTGGGGAAAATTGACTTTGGATTGCATTCATACAAACCCAGAAAGGGAAGCAATGATTCTCAGAATTCAGATTAAAAAAAAACATAACATAGTTAATATTAAATAAAGTGATTGGGCAATTCCATCCACCTTTTTCTGTCTCATGGTTCCTGCTGATGTGGCCTTGATCAAGGCCTGTTTTGTTTATGATTAATGAATGACTCACCTTGAGCTGCTTTCTGTTTATTCCATACTCGTTATGAATTTGAAGAGGTCACCTCGGACTTGGCACCCAAAGGGAAGGCTCTGGAATTCAAGGGAAAAAAAAAAATATTAAAAGCCTTGAAACCTTTCAGGGGTAGTGGACGAACACTTTCCCAGTGACCATTTTCTTGCAACTATTAGAAACATTAATTTATTGAGCACCTACTTTGTACCAGGTGCGACTTGAAAGAAATAAAGACCTTCAGTGTCTGCAGGCAAACAAGTCATATTCCGGCTCCAATCCTTGATACACCTGGCACTCAACTCTCTACATGGGCTTGACAAGTTTCTTCCCCTGTATGGCCTGGGTAATAGGCCTTTATCTCTAAACTTTCTCCTGCTCTCTTATGTCTAGACTTCCAGAACCAAAAAATAAACAATAGAAAATGGTTTGCAGTGTCCTTAGAGCTGAATTTGCTTCCTGATCCTGTGGGTTTCTTACTACATGGCCCTGAGTAGATCACACTCATCTCCACAGGTCAGGGTTTCTTCATCAGGGAACTGGATTAAATCGGTATGTGGCTGAGGCTAAGGGAGCCAGATACACCATGAAAGGCCTTGATAACTGCATGTGTCCACTGTCCAACTAACTCACTGCATCCAGCTCCCTGGAGATGCACACCTGGCATGCCTGCTCACTGGCTACCTGTTTGGTCCTTCGTGTGTGATCTCAAATTAACCATCTCCGAGCCCTTCCTGTTCTGCCATTTTGTGGTTCTGGAAGAGGAAGGGAGGCATGTTAGACCAGGCAGTGTCCTTCCTACTAGGATGAAAGTCTGGGTGTGGGGAGATGGTCTACTAAGTCTCTGAGTAGCTCACCAGCTATCACGTCCTCCTGGCTGTGGTTTCTAACCATCAGTCTCTCGGAGCCACCATGCTTGCCTCCTGCCAGCCTGCTGTGAAGGAATGTGCAGCCGGAAGGTGTGGAAAAACCCAAGTTCAGGATGAATGGTGTGCAGCCATCCCTGCTCTTCAGGGCTTCAGACTGGGGTGGCAGAGGCCAGGAGCAGGTGGACAATGGGGTTGGAAGAAAGTCTAGAACTGCATCAACACACTGCTTTTCCATGCTGGCCCAGACGTAGGATCATCTCTGTCTTCCCCAGTGTTTGATGTCTGGCGAGAGGGAATCTTAAAGGCTCCTGATCCCTGAGGACCGTAAGGCCAGATTAAATCTGAGGATCACAGTTCCAAGCTAGCCTGGATAGGAAAGTCTGTGAGAGATTCTTACTCACAGTTAACTACCAAAAAAAAAAATCCAGAAATGGAGTTGTAGAGCACTAACTTTGAGGGAAAAAACCAACTAACGGACAGTGCCAGGCCCTGAGCTCAAGCCCCAGTACTGACACATATAAAAAGAGCCTACTGTGTGCTAGGCAGATTCAAGGACATGAAATTCTTACCTGGAAAGATATTAGCTGCATCCTGAACACATTACCAGAGGCAAACGATACATATGACATCAAAGACAAGTATTCTGTCCACTACCAAGGTTTTAGAGAGAAGGAAAACTCCATCTTCTTGGCAGGCCAAGGCCATGGGATTGGAGGGGCAGCCAACTGGGCTGAGCAGCAGCCTGGGCAGGGGTATGGGCAGACCTATGCCAGGATGAGTCTGGACAGGTAGGTAGAGAGTTCAGCAGCTCACTTGCAGTTGGCACCTTGCTGAAAAATGACTTGGGCTCCAGGGACTTGAATGACAATCTACTGGGCTTGAAACAACACGCTCCAGTTCCCAGATTGTCTGACCACTCTTTGATTTGATCTTTGGAAGAAGACTGCATGAGTGGCAGCTGAATCTAGATCCCCACTGGAAGCAGATTCCTTAGAATCTTATGAAGGGCAGTTCTGGCATGCTGAGGTTGTATACTGGTTTCCTAAGGATGCCTTGTCTGGGTGCTCCATCTTCGTGGCTTCTCTCACAGTTCTGGAGGACCGAAGTCAACCTTAGGGTGTCCAGAGGTCTGGGCTCCCTCTGGAAACAGCATGGATCCTTGTCTCTTTCAGATTCTGGAGGAACTTGCCATTTCTTGGCTCACACCAATGTGGCTGCCATCTCTTCTTCAGTCCCCACATAGCCTTCTTTCTTAGCTATCTACTTTTAAATTTTGCCAGTGCTGGGGCTTGAATTCAGAGCCTTACACTTTCCCTTAGCTTTTTCAGTCAATGCAGGTGCTCCGCTCTTTTAACCATATTTCTATTTCTGTTTTTTTTTTTTTGCTAGCTAATTGGAGATAAGAGTCTCTTGGATTTGTCTGGCTGGGTGGCTTTGAATCTTGATCCTCAGATCTCAGCCTTCCGAGTAGCCAAGATTATAGTCATAAGCCACTGGCACCCACTTGTTACTGCTGCTTGCTTGCTTGCTTTCTCTTTCTTTCTTTCTTTCTTTCTTTCTTTCTTTCTTTCTTTCTTTCTTTCTTTCTTTCTTTCTTTCTTTCTCCCTTCCTCCCTTCCTTCCTCTTTCTTTCTCTCTTTCTTTCCCTCCTTCCCTCCCTCCTTTCCTTCCTTCCTTCCTTTCTCTCTCTCCCTCCCTCCTTTCCTTCCTCCCTCCTTCCTTCCTCCCTCCCTCCCTCCCTTCTTCCTTCCTTCCTCCCTCCCTCCCTTTTTCCTTCCTTCCTTCCTTCCTTCCTTCCTTCCTTCCTTCCTTCCTTCCTTCCTTCCTTCCTTCCTTCGTTCCTGTCTATCTGTCTTCTTTTTTTACGAGGACACTAGTCATACTAGATTCAGGGCTCACCTTAAGAACAGTGCAGTGTGACCCCCATCTGAAGTACAGTGAGTCCTCATTATTTGTGGGGTCTGTATTTTCTATTTACCTACTCATGAGAATTTATTTGTAACCCCCAGATCAATACATGATCATTTTCAGATACAACCAGAACAGTGCTCTGTCTTCTCGCTTCACGTCATAAGCCATTCTCTTCCGTGGTTCACTTAATGCCGTGCTTTTTGTTTTTGTTTTTTTTTGCTTTTTGTGCTTTTTCACTTGATGATTTTGTTGTTTGACATGGCCCCAGGCATAGAGCTGAAGTGCTGTGTGTGGTTCATGAGTACACAAAGGCTGATGTCCCTTATGGAGGAAATTCAGTTAGATCAGACATGAGTCATGGTACAGAGTTCAAGGGGAATGAAGCAGCAATCGGTAGGAATAAGTTGTTTTCTGACAGCAGTCACATAAAGTACACCCACAGAAGGGCCCCTGACTGCTAGAAGGACCAGAGATTCCCAGTATCTTATTGGCTTAGCGTTCTCTAATTCAGAGAGCTTCATTAGGGTGAATAACACAGCATGACTGGTATCACAGTGGCCAAGATCCTATTTCTGGATCAGGTCACATGCTGTGGTGCTAGGCCGTCAGGGGTTTGGGAAGGACACTACTCACCAAGGGCTGGCCTCCCACCTCCTCTCTGCTCCACACACATGGTCTCCCAATGGCCAGCCACTGGGTCCTTCCTGAAACCAGGGTCCTGGGCCCTCAGATGATCTCAGAGCTCATCGTTCCTTTGGTCTGGAGTTGGGTGGAGAACTCTGCATGGTCAGTGTGATGGCTGCTGGCATCCCCACATATCACTTTCCTTAGGACTCCTGTGTCTACATTTCACACTCTCCTTTCTGGGAGAGAGATACAGGCAACTCTTCTGAGAGAGCTCAGCCTCACCCCTTCTGCGGTTATGATGATGAGGAAGATTTTTCCAGTGGTCTTTTGGGTCCCAACTTAGCCCCTCCCCCAGATTAGGACATTGAACATGATCACAAGACTTCCAAGTTATTTCTACTCTCTCTGGGTAGTTAGTAGCCTCATTCCCTCCAGACTGTATCCTATAGACGCTGGAGCCTGTGCTGAATCCCTGTGGGGAAATCTGGAGTGCTGGCCATGGGAGATGTAGCAGCAAGTACTCTGCCTCTCCTCAGAGGCCCAGAGTTCCCCTGGCCTTCTGTGAGCTGGCATGTGTTTCTGTGATCTGAGCATGTTGATAACTCACTGTGTCAGAAGGTAAGTGAAGTTTTGGTAAGAAAATGCAGTGACATTAGCACAAGACCATAATGCAGCTGGATTAAACGTTAAGACTTAGCAGCATTCATAAGTATCTATATCTTCAAATATCCAGGTTCCCCCTATCTGCTTTCTCTTCCATTCTTGATGTGGTTCATTAAGAATCCTATGAAAGAAACAAGATGGCACCTGCTTATGTGGGTGTCAAATTTTCAACTCTCTGGATTCACTTCCTGAAATAAAGAATTTAAAAAACAAAAACAAGGCCAGTGCCAGTGGCTCACGCCTGTAATCCTAGATATTCAGGAGGCTGCGATCTGAGGATCATGGTTCAAAGCCCAGGCAGGAAAGTCCATGAGACTGTTATCTCTAATTAACCACTAGAAAACTGGAAATGGCACTGTGGCTCAAGTGGTAGAGCTCTTACCTTAAGCTGAAGAGCTCAGAGACAGCTCCCAGGCCCACAGTTCATGTGGCTTAGTGGTAGAGTACCTGCCATCGTGCATGAAGCCCTGGGTTCAATTCCTACATAAACAGAAAAAGCTGCAAGTGGTGCTGTGGCTCAAGTGGTAGAGCACTCACCTTGAGCACAGAGAGGCTCAAGGACAGTGCCCAAGCCCTGAGTTCCAGCCCTAGGATGGGCAAGTGGAAGTGGAGGATATTCACAAACATTCTTCTCTGCTAAGATATTCTTAATGCATCCAATTTTCACAAGAATTAGCTTCATGTTAGAAGTCATTGGAAGTGGCTGGGTGCCAGTGGCTCACGCCTGTAATCCTAGCTACTCAGGAGGCTGAGATCTGAGGATCACAGTGCAAAGCCAGCTCAGGCAGGAAAGTTTGTGAGACTCTGATTTCCAATAAACCACCAGAAAACCGGAAGTGACGCTGTGGCTCAAGTGGTAAAGCGCTAGTCTTGAGCTGAAGAGCTGAGGGACAGTGCCCAGGCCCAGAGTTCAAGCCCCAAGACTGACCAAATAAAAAGAAAAAGTGGCTCCTTAGATGGAGATTCTTTGACGACAGCACCAAGAAAGGACAAGAAGGTAGACAAAGCTTCAGAAAATGATATGATTCAGGGATCATTATGGGGCTGTTTAATCTGAGAGCCAGTCATGTACTAGTCTGTAAGCATGACAATTTCACTGCTGTCATTTTGCTAATGAAACATTTGGAATAGTTTTAGGAAGAGTGAAGCTTTCAGAAAGACCACCTGCTTGAAACCTACTCCATACCAGTTTTGTGATCCTTAGGGGAATCAACCTCACCAGAGCCAAGGTATACCTTTCTCCATATGTATAATGGCTTAATAGCACCCCTGAGGAGATCATGTTATTTGTGAAGTTTTGACCACAGTACTTGGGACTAACACTTTGACATGACATATTATAGCAACAAAGTACTTCACAATTCCAAAGCATCTCTTA